TGCCTGCCTGCCTGCCTGCTTCCCTGGCGGCCGGCCTCCGCGCCCGGAGGCGCCCTTGAAGGGAGAAAGGGCGCGTCAGGGCAGACGGCGGCTGCTTTTCCTCGCGTCCCTTTATTGTCGCGGCTGAGGAGCCCCGCCGCATCTGCCAATCATCCTGTGGGTGCGTGAGCGGGCTGGAAGGGCAAGTAGGTGATTTGCCCTTCATGGGGATCCATTTCTTCCTTCTAGAACTGAGCTAGGCTGCCCTGCTGCTGAGTAGACTTAAGAGGGTCAAAGAGACAGAAGAAGGCCCCTGAAATCTGGGGGTCTTGGGGAAGAATGCTGCCCCTGCCCACAGCCCCACCCACTTCCTTTCCTTGCTCATTGATTGCATCCCTTTCTCTCCTTAAACATTATTGAGGGTAGTGCACGGCCTGCAGAAAATCGCCCGCCTATGTCTTAGAAGCGCAGAATGGTATACAGCATCATTCCCTCCGAATGGGTTGGACGGTGACTCACATTATTCCCAGCAAACATGTCGTATATCTGGCTGGCAGCAAGCTGGAAAAGACTGCATAATTTACTCTCCTTCCCCCATGCAGGTTAGGTTGCTAGTGACGTCCAAAATTCACTTCGTGAGCTTCATGATTAGAGAGTTAACTTCACACCTTTTCAGACATAAGATGGCACAGCACTCTTACCCCGCATTGCATCCCATCCTGTAGCTGTGTGGCATCGTAAGTTAATGTCTTGCCCGTGACTGAGCAGCCATAGGTCCTAATAATGAAGGCAGAGCATTTGTTTTCCTCCTCCTAAGAAATAGGATCCCATTTGCATTTGCAAAATCAAGAAGTATACCAGTGAACATTGTAGCTGTGTGTTGTGCAAAATGCTAATCCAAGGTTAATTGGCTCATGGTTGATATTATTAACACAATTGCCTGAGTTCACACAATGCATTGGCTCTGTTTGTGCAACATTCTTCACTTGGTGACCAAATGAACTCATTTTTTGGATTTGTACATTGAACTACAAACCACCAAACTGGCTGGGATCACTGAACACTCTAAGGCAGAAAAAACTAAGCAAGGTTTGTTGGTTTGTTTGTATGTCACATTTATATAGCTGCCCATCTCACACAAAGCAACTCCAGGCGGTGTACAACAATTAAAATAACAGATGGGTAAAAAGATGTAATTTTAACAGATTATAAAAAGATAAAAAAATGATTATTAAAATTGAAAATAAAAACATTATCAAAAATTTTTTAAAAATGAAATTTTAAAATATACAAGCCTCACGGAGACAGCAGAATATCAATTACAGTGAAGCCATCTAAGAATGTCTCTGGTTCCCAGAAACTCCAGGCCTGATGGCATAACCAGGTCTTGAGGGACTTCCTAAATGACAACAGGGAAGGGGCGAGCCTAACTTCAGGAGGGAGAATGTTCCACAAGGAGGGAGCCACGGCAGAGAAGGCCCACCTGAGCTTAGCCTATTGTATGAATGTAATCTCTAGATGATTTGTATGACCAATGAACCACACTGACCACATGGCTGGGTTTCCACAGTACACTGAACAACTGCATATTAACTTAAAGTTATGCACATCCAACTAATAGGTGTGAACAGCATGCACTTTGCTTGTTTCCACTCACAGATGGTGTGATCATTCAATAAGAAAGTAGACCATGAGGTTGCAAACATGACCAAACGTGATGTGACCTAAGGTTCTTGAGTGCAATGGTGGGACACAAATATAAAAATCTGGGCTTTGCATCATGGTGTCACATCACATGTTTGGTCATGTTTGCAACTTCATGGTCTGTACAAGATAGTTATATAAAAGAAGATCATTCAAAATGGTGCCTAAGTCCTGGAATACCTCCATGGCATTGCCCTCATTTAAGAGGGGAACCATAGTAGATCGAAAACTATAAATAAGAAAAGATTGTACCTTACTTGGGATGATTAGAACCAGCCATTAGAAACTACCCTGTAACAGTTCAGACCATTGGTCCATTGGTTCAGTGTTATAGTATTTATGTCAGCATTCCCCAATTTCATATTCTCGCATCACCACAACAAATGTCTGTGCTGTCTGGGGTTGTAATACTTTTGAAGTACAGCACCAGGTTGGGGGAAGATTGGCCTACTTACAGGAATTTCAGGTGAGGATCTTTCTCAGCCCTGAGATGCTGGGATTGAAGATTGAACCTGAGACTTTTACCATGCAAAGTATACAGAATGCAGTAGTGCTCAGATAAAACTCCAGCAGTTGTATCATGGATAGCCAAAACAGAATCTTATTTCAGTGAAGGATATATTCAGAGGAATAAAACATGCTTGACTGACTCAAGGATCACATCTGAAAGCAATGAAAAGGAGGATATGTCAGCCTTTCTCCTCCACACTACATGGAATTAATGTGTTAATGTAATCAGCAGCAAAAAACACCTTTGTTTTCAGAGAATAATAATGTAGGTCATACTGACTAGGAACAGGTTTCAAACTTGGCCAATGTATATTAAAGTGGTAAAACAGTGTCGTAAATATGTGGGTTAGATGATGAGATGAAAAGGAAGATGGAACTTTTGTACATTTTGGATTTGTGTAGCTTCTGTTCCTCATGGCAAATTGTACCACAAGCCAAAATTCTTTCTTAGAAGTATCATTCTCCTTTGCATTTCATCATCTATTGCATTGGTTTATATTTTAAAATATGAATTGCAGCATTTGTTACATATAAACAGCCTTTTAATATAGCTGTAGTATCAATAGAGCTATTCTTACATATGAAAAAATAAGTAATATTTTCCATAATAATACCTTTGTTTAATTAAACAGAAAACAAAAGGGGAAAAAACAGAAGAAAGCAAAACTATATGTAGACTTCTCATGTATATGTATATAAAGTTTTATATACAATTTCAATAAAGGATGATCATATTTTACTATAATCATAATCTACATAATCTACATCTATAAGTAACTCAATCATAGGTCACAAGTAACATCAGATCTTTAGTCAACTGAGTAATTGGAGCCATTTCCATTGTCCAGTGCTCAGTTACCATAAATAAGTATTCAGTATGTAGTTCAAAAGAGTATGAACATCTGAAAATACTAAAATTTGTCTCAAAGTAAAATTGATGTATGCAGTTGTTTCTTCCCAGAGCATAATTATAATGCTAGTAGAGCTATTCTGAAATATGGGTAAATAAAACATGTCTTCAGTGAGGAATTTAAAAACTACTTTGGGATAGTACCTTTATTATTATTAGGCACAAAAATATGCATTATTTTAAAATGAATCTTTTAATCAGGCAAGATATAATATTTAGAATTCTGGAATAAGAGAGTTAACATTGGTAATAGAGTAGTACCAAAATTGGTATAACTGGGACAGGCTTCTCTTGTTAGCCAGAATGAGGTTGTCCTTTCCAATAGCAGATTCTATTCTAGATTCTAGTAAAATCTTGTTGCTGGGTTGTGCCCCATGTAAACTGACCTGCAACCCATTAACTAGCTTTCTGCATGTGGGTGCAGAGGAGAATATTGTTCTACCACCAGGGCTGAAGAAAATTCAACTGCCATTTCAGTTGGCTGCTGCACATGGAATGGGAAGATGCAATCTTATTTGTCCTCCTAGCAGAATGATTTGATCAAGTCCTGAATAAAATAACTAGAATGCAATATATATGTACTGTATATATATTTTTAGTCTGGTCTGTAACCTTCACTTAGGTTTATTCAGAAATGAGTCCCATTGATCTCAGAGACATGTTCCTGAATTTAGAGCACCCCAAGGTGGACAGACTGGTCTGAGCATGCTCCATTCCAATCTTGGAACTCAACAGAGCTTTGATTCTGATCTGTATCTCCTGATTCTTGAAGTTTTACAGAATTTAACATCACAGATGTTTTCCATTTATGTATATTTCTATGGCAGGGAAGCAAGGAAGGTGGAATATTGGATTTTAGGTCTTCCATCAGGCCACTGTTGATTATACCAATGACAAAATCTTGAGAGGGGTGGGTTAGTAGAAATGTCATTTGGTCAGCAAGGCTGCTTAATTTTCACCAGACTCCTGTCCTAAGCAATCATATCATAGCCCTTCCTTAGCTACATTGGTCAATGGACCCTGCCTAGCAGTTTATTTTTATTAAGCCTTTGACCTTTTGTTCAGTAACACTGACCTCTGTTCAATAGTGCTGTTTCCTCCTGTCATTGTTTTCACAATACCACATTTAGCAAAAGTTGAAGACCAATTAATTCATTCCTTATACTTTCACCACAGCTATACTGCATTCAAGAAAGGCATCATCATTCATTTAGAGACACCACTTCCCTTGGTACAAAATTATCCTAAATTTTGGTATGTATATTTTTTTTCATCAGCTAAAATGTAAAACTTAGGATAGGGAACATGTGGCCTTCCAGACCCTGCTGAACAGCAACTCCCAGCATTCTTCACTACTGTGTTGATATACTGGGAGTTGTAGTTAAGCACACTTTGTGTGCACAGGTTCTCCATCCTGGTTTATATAAACTACAAGTCCTTGTGTCCAGATGCCACAAAGAACTGTGGTTAGTGCATGAAGCCTGAATCTTGTGCAGGCTGATTCATATAACAAAAAATATGGTTTCCTATTAAATTTGAATCAGACCTGCAAGTATTTGTTATGTATTGGAAACCAGAAGTG